AGAGTGCCCTACACCTTTATGAAATAAAAAAATGATTTCTAAAGGTAATGCCAAGAAATGGAGTAAACTGCAGTAGTAAAAACTTAAGATTCATATGCTGATCTTGCCCACTGTGTACCTCCAAACACATTTTATTTAATACGTGCTAATTTCACTGAAATGTATGTGTTTTGGAGGAGTAACACTGAAGGAAGATGCTATTTTTAGCTGACAGGTATAAATTAATTGTTTAAATGAAGTTCTGAGAATACTTCAAACTCAAATGGAATACTGACATAGAAAAATTACTAGATGACCAAAGCCTTACAACTCCTGCTACAGCTTTACAAAAGGTGTACTTTACTGAGCAGACATCACCAGGTTTCACCTTTTTTTTCTGTTAAAAATCAGTGATATGTTGTAAATGACCTTAGATTCACACCCTTGAGCTCTTATTGTATAATAAAGTATGGGAATCTGCATTTCTGTACTAACTGTCCAACTATCTCAGCTGACAGCGTATACAAAGCTGTGCAACTGCAGGAACCAAGCTGTTAAAATGCAACATAAAATGCATAAACAAAAGCCTGGAAGACTATACATGTACGAGAATGCCAAGGCATGTTTGACTAATGAAGCAGTATATTACATAATAACAAAATGCGTTATAGATCCACTGGCATAGCTAACACACTAATGGGAAAATTATATTTAATTAACTTAAGTGTTAGAAAACATAGCCATAGAAGGGAAACTAAACAGATATGCTCACTGCTTGTGTAGCAACCACAAAGTCCTTGGTTGGAGGTACACAGTTCAAATTGAAATACTTCAATTTCATTTGGCCAGAGAAAGATGAAATTAAAAATTTGAGCCAAGCAATGCTCTGGGACACCATCTAGGTCTTTAACACTTCCTACATTTTGTTCATGAATGGTAAGCCCTTAGAGTCATACTGGAAAAAAATGGTAATGAATCTTCAAAAATTCCAACTGCAACCCAAATTCACGAACACAGAAGACTACTACCTCTCCTTTCCCTAGGCTTTGAGAAGGTATGCTATAATCAAACTGTTGACTGGTGACCTTTTTACATTTGGGTTAAGGTCTAGGCACCCTGTACAGTATATTCTGGATGATCTCATCTCACACAGCTACTACTAAAGGCAATTCTCCATGTTATTAGCTTACATCTGTCTCACACTGTGAGGCAGCATCTTAAAGGGAAGTAATTTGATGGTAATTAAGTCGGTAAGTCACCTGGTAATGTGCATGGAAAGCAAGTAACTTCTCTGTATCTCAAGTGCTCTTAACTTTGCTACAGAGAAGTCTTAAAGTTGATTTTTTAACAACATGAACATCCAAGCTTTGGAGCAGCCAGTGATCAGGAAACGGAATAGAATGTATTTGTTAAGCCTCCAAGAAGTTTACATCAACTCCCATAATGCAGGGAATTTTCTTTCTTAGACACTACTGCCACCTCTTCCAGTAAACAAACACTGGATGTATTCTTTCAGAGTACAAGCAGTGGGTATAAAAACGTCAAAAATTAAGCTAACAATGACAAAGAACGACAAAGCAGGTCAAAAGATGGCAGAAAGTATTATGATATACAGGACATATTAGAAACCTGAAGCGTCATCTAGAAACAATAAAGTAACAGGAATGTGAGTAATTCAGGTTGCAAAAGACCTCAAACATCATTGAGTCCAACACTGACCAATCACAACCTCATCACTTAGAACACAGCACTAGGTACAATATCCAATTACTTCCTGAACAACTCTTAACGATGGTGACTCCACTATTTCCCTAAGCAGTCTGTTTCAATGCTTAACAACTCTTTCCAAGAAGAAATTATTCTTGATGCTCAGAAAAATGAACCTCAGCTGGTACAAGTTGAGGCTATGTCCTCTTGTTCTACCTCTCGTTACCTGGAAAAGTGTCTGACCCCCAGCTAGCTACCTCCTCCTTTCAAGGCAGTTGTAGAGAGTGGTAAGTCTACAGCTGAGCCTCCTTTACTTCAGGCTGAAGACCTCCAGCTCATTCAGCTGCTCCTTACAACTTGTGCTCCAGACCCTTCAACAGTTCTGTTCCCCTTCTCTGGACATGCTCCAGCCCCTCAGTGTCTGTCCTGCAGTATGGGGGCCAGAACCGGGCATAGGATTTGAGATGTGGCCTCAGCAGTGCTGACTGCAGGGGGATAAACCCCTACACACTCTGATATTGATATTCTGATGAAATATCAGATATGGTCCTGATGACCGCACTATTTCTGATCCAAGCCAGGATGCCATTGGCCATGCTGGCTATATGCTGGCTCCTGTTCAGCTGCTGGCAACCAGCACCCTGAGGTCATCTTCTGCTGGGCAGCTTTCCAGCTACTCTGCCCCTGCTGGTATCACTGCCTTGGCCAGCTGTGACCCAAGGGCAGGACCCAGCACTTAGCCTTGCTGAATACTGATGGTAGAAAAGAGCAATGTAGGCAGCAGACTGAAAATACTACTTCTACTACTACTGGAACTACTACTACTACTATAAAACCACAGTGGAAAACTACTGAGAAGATGAGAGGCTTGTGCAAGGGATTAAACGAAGAGCACATCTGACATTGCCACATATGCTTATCAGACATTGCCACATATGCTTACAAGAGAGAGAATGGACAACAAACCATTTTGGTTCATAAATCAAGTCAGAAGACAACGAGCACCAAGTGCTTGTTTCCGTCTTACTGCCTTGTGAATCTCAGTAGCAACTTTAAAGTAATTTGCCTCCTTGCTTGGTGGCAGGGATATAATGCTAATAAATTTGAGTGTTTTAATGATAAACCCACATACTGTATTTTTGAAACAATGTTTCTTTGGTGTTTGCTGATTTTTATTTTTTTTTGGACTTACGTACCCAGAAAAAACTCTGCTTGCAAGCATAAGTTTACATGGAGGCTTTTCTAAAGACTTATACACCGTGATTAACAAGAGTTATTTAAAAGATTTTGCAGAAATCCATAGTATGAACTATAATGTAGTCACCAAATCTGCAAAACACTCATGGTAAACTGCTAAACATGCTGAGCTTGAGAAATAACCAATCAACTAGCACATGTACATTTTGCAAGACAATGTACTAGGAATTTTTTTTATAGCTTCTTAATGATTATTCCCTACTATTTTTAATGCTACTCAAAAGATCCGCTATGGTGACAATTTAATTAAAGTAGGTCAAAACTATGGTATTCAGCACAATCTGATCTGAAGTAGCATCAGATCATTATTTCCTATTTAGGAAAGTAATTCTATTTTTAGCCTCTAAGGAAGAGAGCACAGAAAATACATACATTTATTTCAACTTTAAAACCAGTATCACATCTGTTGTGGAAACAAAGTTAGGACCTACAAATACAAGAAATTCAAAGTATGAGACGAACTCTGCTTCACCTTCTATTTAACTTTGCCACTCATTTTAGTACAGAAACAACATGAAGAAATATTGTTAGCAACGTGTCTCTAAAATTTTCTTTTCACTGTTTACACATCTTGAAATTTCTTTTTATGTAAAATTATATTTGTTTCCTTACCACCTAAAAAGAAAACACAGTTTGGTATGTTTGAGGACAGTGAGAATCTGAACAATACACAAGAGATGCCACTGTGCTTTGCACCACTCTACACCAAAATATGCGTGCAAAAATGATGGGTTGGGAAGGTAGCAAGGACAGAGAACTGCACAGGACAAGAGAAACCCTATGCATAGGGCAAAGGGAAGCCATGGCATGATGATAATATTGCAATGAATCTGAGGAGCCTTATATCCTGCATTCATGGATCTTCAGCTGCCTAAATTGTATCAGCAAGATCCTAGTAAGTTCATCTTGACTAACTCCCTTATAAAGTAATGTACTAGATAAGGATGCTCAAACTAGTGTGCAGATAAATGTCATTCCACACCTGTCATGTCTAATGTCCTGCTACAGTCAGCTTAATGGAAGCTTCACTTTGAACTTTCTTAAGCTTAAGAGGCTTCCATTCATGTATACATGCCAAATGGAGACTGGAGTTGTATCAAAGGAATAACTTTTTTTCATAGCTAATACAAAAAACAATGTAGAACCCATGGAAGTTTTTGCCATGGCTTTAGTAACACACTGTGCTGTGTTCTGTAGCACTGGTCAACATGAAAAGGCCATCAACTGTTTCTTTGACAGGAGATGAGAAATTTTACCTGAGCTCTATGCTACATCACTAAAAAATAACTAAGATTCATGGAGTAAACCTCCAGGCAGACATCAGACTCCAATGACAAATTTCACATTGTTTTCTAATCAGACTCCAGTCCCAAGAAACTAAAGGTGTAACATTTCAGACCTTTTTTTTAGTCACATAACAATTTTTATTATTGTTGATCTAGAAAAAACAATTTCACTTCAAGTGCTTTCCTGATGTCTTTCCTGGCTGCCATGTTCTTTAATGTTTAGACTTTGTTTCCATAATAGAAAGGCAGCTCAGTATAAAACAAATACCTTTATTTAGTACTGTTTATCTCACTACTAAGAATGCAAATGCCAGGAAGGGAAAACAGAAAATCTGGAAAATAGGAGTTCTTGGACATTTCAATTTGTATCAATTGTATGGAGGTCTACTTTAATTGCACTTCACAGTATTGACTACTGTCCCACTACATGAAATTAGTTTTTCCCATCTTGCATTTGTGATTATATGTTGGAAGAGAGTAGGTTGAATAGGTTTAACAAAAAAATCCTCCCCCAAATTAACCATCCCTAGTTAGAATGTTAACTTAAGACTTTGAATGATCACAGACTGTCATTTTGTGAAATAAGCGCAGATATAATCCTAAAATAGATGTATGCCACTCCTTAATTCAATTTTGTACATGTATATTCAGCTATGTTTGTGTTGCATATGCACACAAACATGTACACAGACATATAGTACAATAAAGCAAAAATTACTTTGCTAGAAACATCAAGTTATATACAGTTATTCATTGCTACCATGTACTTACTATTTAGTTGAATCTGATAATTGATATTCCCGTCGTCTATCGTAACACTCCTGAATTCCAGGGTCATTCCATAAGCTTCTTATTGCATCTACATATGGGTTCTCAAAACTTGACACCTTCTCTACATCAACTTCTCGAACTAAAAGTGCATGAACCTAATTCAAAACAAACAGAACAGTAAAATTTACCTAATTTTCTCTGTTTCCAGACAGCTCAAATACAATGAACAAGATTAATAATTCTTCACATTCGTCATACCACCAACACGTGATAAGGGTCAAGGTTCAATCTGAAAAATCAAATATCATGAAGATGATTGTGAAGATGCAAAAAGAAGGTAACCTTTAAGCTAGCCTCAAAAGGAGTGAAGTTGCACTCAGGAAAATTGTATCTTCTTAACGCTTCTTTCTTTTGGAACACCAGTAATTGTTACCAAAACATTGGAACAAAGAAAAATAAAAATGACGGACAAAACTGAAGGATACTGTAGTACCACCGAATTCAAACTGGTCATTAAGATCTTGCTACTACTACTAGTTCAACTCAATTGTTCCACAGCCAAAATCTGATGGTGAAGGTGACTCTTCAGTTCAATACACTTTGGACAACAGCAGACAATGTTTTCCATGGCCTTCTGGGAATGTAACAATTTCCCCTTTATTTACCAGAAATCTTGTAAACACTTATTCAATTCTTTTTGGAAAATCATGTCTCATACATTTTGGATCTTCATGGGTTTCTACAAACGATCGTTAAAACAAGATTCCAGAATAAGAAAGCTGGACTTTTTGGGAATGGTAATCATTACATCTCCACTTGAGGGATACTGAAAGGGCTACCACGTCTTCTGCTTCTTTATTCCACTGAGAAAACTATGGGCAGGTTTAAAAACTGGTTCTGGGCTTCAACAGTCCTACAGCCTTATGCTAGTTTTCATGGCAATACTCTTTTTGTCATAATCCATTATATACTTACAGAAGTGTGTTTTTTTTATATCTAGGCTTCATCAGCTCAGTCATATTCCTATCTTTATTATTCTTATTTTTGTATTAACAAGAAAATTACAGAATTCCCAGTTCCTATGAGATGCCTGACCCTACAGAACCCTATTTCAAAAAGCTGAAAAAGTTCTAGTAATTCAGCACTATTACTAAGAAAAAGGTTCATACCTTCTCTGTTCCTTGGTTTTAGGACTATGTTAACGGTGGTTAGATTTCCGTAAGACCGGTGAGTTCACGTTTCACTACTGTGAAGCATTTGCTTTCTTTGGCTATTTGTGTGCATTTAAATTAAACTAGGTTTTACCAAAATGCTCTATATATTTTCCTGAACTACCACAGTGGTTATGACAACAACAGCAGTTAGCCGAATAAACTGAGTAAATAAAAATGCTTAATGCCAGAAATGTATTTCACTTTTCCAGGTATGGGAGGAGCTAAATCCATCATTTTTCTTTGGGTTTTTCTTTCTGTCAATCAGTGTAAATCTTCAATATGAAACGTCAGCCAAACCTCTGAGGTAAAACCACATCAGCCAAAAAGCTTCCGTCATCTGGAGCCTTTGTATGAAACAAAAATGCCCAAAGATTCACCCAAACCACTGGAAGTCAGAAGACTGACCTGTCATCTCTCCTGGAAAATTCATGATCCCAGTGAAAATGGAAGAGTAAAGCAACCAAAAAGCAGAGCATGTTTTCCAAATACCTGTTTTGTAATAAACATGCCAGGAAAGCTTATCCATAAACATACTACAGGAAAAGCCACAGACCTTTCTTCTTTTCACTTCGTTATTTTATTTGTATGTTTATTTCCTTTGAAAAGCAGGTACCACCTAAGGACAGAGGGGATAGCCAGAAATAACCCCAGAAATCCAATGTTGCCACAGGCTACTGTAGTCCTGTGACTGAACTGAATTATGAACCAGAAACTGCTAACAAGTCTGAAATTTTTCTCATAAAAACTCTGCAACAGGATTTCAGACCTAGCTGACAGATAAAGAAAAACACTGATTGAACAGGAGAAAATAGAAATAGATCATCTGCTTGCTGCCAAATGTCTGCCAATGGTGGTTTTCTTGTGAAACTCCCCCAAACTGGAATTAGTTTTAATGGAGTGGTGGACAATAAAAGTGAAGTGCAGTGAAGAACTACTTAAATGTCTCCTTATACATTATATTTTTATTGCTATAAACCATTCATTCCTAGCTTTGTTTGAGATCAGGTCACCAGGCAAAGTAGGAAAAAGATAACATTATTGACAGTTGGAATGGAAAATGTAATAAGTACAGTAATATCACTCAAGCAGTATCTTTGGCTTCTGGATCGTATTACACGAAACAAAAAAATATGAACGAAAGCTAAAGTTTCAATTTCACACATGAAACAAGTTCAAGTTTTCTACAGCAGAGCTTTTTAAAAAGTTGGGACCCATCCAGACAGTGTATGCAGTAAGTTCATTTCCAAGAATTATACGTGCAGTATCCAAAATTATAATATCCAAAAATTTATGTGAGATCTTAGAAAAGAGATTTGAAGCAGCTTCTGACCCAAAATGTTTATAATTTAATGGATAACTGAACACTTTCCTGCCCATTCTACCATGCAATTTTCTTATATTTATATTATTATATTTAAATGCTGATGTGACTTCAGGTGTTCATGAATACAAGATTTATATGTTCCTGTCCAAAAATCATGCCACAGTTTTCATTAAACATTGCTAATTTAGAGTGTTTTACATTTTGTTAAAACATACTAAGACAGAAAATCATAGAATATCCTGAATTGGAAGGGACCCAAGAGGATGATCAAGTCCAACTTCTGACCTTGTGTAGGATACCCCAAGAGTCACCACGCCATGTGACTAAGAGCATCATCCAAACACTTCTTCAACTCAGTCAGGCTGGTGCTGTGACCCTGGGGAGCTGTTCCAGTGCCAAACCACCCTCCGGGTGAGAATGTTTTCCTCATATGCAGTGTTGGGGAGTTTCAGGCTATATGCTCAGGTCCTGTCACTGGTCACTACAGAAGTGCCTGCCCCTCCTCTTCCCCTCACGAGGAAGTTGTAGCTGCAATGAGGTCAGTCTTCAGTCTCCTCTTCTGCAGACTGAACAGACCAAGTGACTGCAGCCACTCCTCACATGGCTTCCCTCCAAGGCCCTTCACCATCCTCATAGCCCTCCTCTGGATGCTCTCTAATAGTTTATTCTTGTATTCTGGCACTCAAAACCACACACTGGACTCAAGGTAAGGCCAAATACAATGCAGAGCAGAGCAGGACAATCACAATATTCCAAAATCCCAGCTTCAGAATAACAGTAGCACAGAAACTTTGGATAACCCCAACACTTTCTGGTAGGCTGAACTTAAATGCAACTATGGATGTCTACTGTAACAATTAAAGGCTGAGAATGCTGCAGCTGTCAGTCGGTATCTGCTATATAGTAATTTTCATATAAAGCTGCCATACCTTCATAAAACCTGTTAGAGCACCATCTTCCTCTTCCTTACCATGCTGTTACTTACAACATGAAGATAAAAACAACTATGAAGGCACAAAGGAAGAAATAAGAATGTATAATAGCTTCTTTGTTTCTTCATAGTGAAAGGGTGAAATCTCAGTTGGGTGAACTAAAATCCATCAGAACTTCAAAATAACTTACACAGAGCCTGTGTAAACTAACTTGTTGCATGGACTCTGTGATCTCCTTAGTAATGCCATTACAGGGCTGCTCAAACATTTAAAATACTACACAAACATGCAAATGAAAAAAGTGCATACACATAAACATTTGCACTCTAAGTATTACAGAGCTCTCATGACTTTCCATACATAAATTTTACTTTAATTACCCTATGACAAAATTGGTTATTTGCAAAACATCCCCAAGAATTAAGGTATGGAATAAACAGATGTAAACTGTGCAGGTAAGCACTTCCATGAAGGCAGGAAACTCTATGCCATTTCTGAGGTACTACTCAAAAATCTTACATCTCCAGGCTACCTAACATAATTGTAGTATAGTGAGGCATTTTTTCACCTCTGTGGGAGTCTTAATTACCGAAGTATTTCCAATGTTTTGTCTGTGACTGGTATAGAAGGCAATTTACCAGGGATATAGTACCATGTCAGATATCCTGGCATTTGAGAGCCCTTAGGCTTGATGTAAATTACAGATATAATTTTGGTTTTCAAAATCAAAATGAAATTGAAACGTATTCTAACATTTTAAATTATTTGACTACATTTAATTAAAAACATTACAGCCATTTCTAGTCATCTTTTATTCCCTGTGCTGCTGGAATATGAAGAAAAACAGCTGTTTAAAATTCCTGCTATTTGAAGAGGGGGCAACATCTCACTCCCTCTCTGCTATGCAAGACTTAAACTCCACAGAGATAATGCAATAATCTCCTCAACTGCAGTGACGACAGAGGCAAAAGAGAGAAATTTCACCTTCAGATTTTAAATATTAATTCTTTTATATTTTTCACTGGATCTACTTGTTTCACCTGTAGACGGATTGTAAATATTCTCTTTTTATATTTTTTACTGGATCTACTTGTTTCACCTATAGATATAAACTAAAATATGAAGATTTATTAAACAAAAATTATAGGCTCTTTCATCTCCTTTTAAAGAAGTTTCATACCTCTAACTCTCCAGGTGGATCCTCAAGACTTTTGGCTACTTTCTTAGAAGGTAAGATCATTAAGCATTACAATTTTTACACACATTATAACTTTGTTAGTTAATGACTGCATAGGGTGTTACACTCTTCAAATACTGGCATGGCTATAAAGCTAAGTTGTAAGATGACATCAACATGCAAAACTGAACAGCAGGTTGCAAATCCTATCACAAAAGAATTGTAACTAATATTTACTTTTGTGTGTGTAGCATGTTACATTTGCAAGGGATTATAAATTAGGCACTTTCATACCTCCTGCTGGTACTAAATGTAGCACCTTAGATGAAATTTTCACACACTGGTCCTAAAATTTTGCAGCTAGTGAATACTTTCCTGGTATGTGCTGTAAAAATGTGTCATTTCTGCTGTTGAGTATCCTACAAACAGAAATAGCTTTATTCTCTGGAAAACGCTTTTGCTTTGTAGAGCTGGGGAAATTCTAGGGCTGATTTTTTGAAATATCTTT